GATTGCCCAACCTTCCTTCCGAGGAGTGGCTGGTGGGTTTGAACTGCCAGCCTTCTGGTAAGCAGTCAAGTGCCTTAGGCACTGTGCTACCTGAGCTCATGTTACAAATGATTATCCAAGTTCAGGTATAAAATTGCAATATTATTTTTAACAGAATAGTTTTTTTCAAAACCTATTTTAAGCAAATATTTTCCCTTTAACCTTGATTTTATCTTTTCAAAATATTGCTTAATGATAAAACTTACATTGAGTTATTCTAATAAAGAGTTTAAGCTTTGCAAAATCTCAGCTAGCGTTTTGCCTGTACGGAGAAAAATATATATATTTTTCAAGCCAATAATTGTGTCCAAGTACCACCACCAACAGAAATGCTTACATCACACAAACATATAAATTTGTTTGTCTATGGTTCCCTTAGGAGCTCTAAGTGCCTAGGGCATTTGACTGCTAACCAGAAGGCCGGTGGTTCAAACCCACTAGCCACTCCTCAAAAGGAAAGTCGGGCAATCTACTTCTGTAGTGATACCACCTTGGAAACCCAAGGAGGTATCGCTATGAGTCAGATCCAACTTGATGGCAGTGAAGTTTTTTTTTTAAGCTTCCCTCAAGAAAGCTCACTTCCACTCAAAACATAAATCAGGTCATCTTTTTTTCTTGATGGCCATATTTTTCTGCTTTTTCCTGATTCTACCACTCCAGTAAGCATAAATTCCTTTTAAAACTTTTCTCCAAACCAGCAGGCACTGAAAACTTCTTAACAAGTAAAATTGATTTTAAAATGGAAATAGAAAATTGCTGTTTATGAACAGTACCTGAGATGTGAATGAACCAAGTGAGAAACGTTCTAAAGTCAGAATTTCTTAGGAGGTTATTACCAAGGACATTGACCTACCTGAGTCATATCTCTAAAAACTCTAGGATAATGAAGCTCTATTTCAGAAATGGAAGGAGCCCTGGTGGTGCAGCAGTTAAGTGTTTGGCTGCTAATTAAAAGGCTGATAATTCAATGTCACTAGCCACTCTGTGGTAGAAAGATGTGGCAGTCTGCTTCCATAAAGATTACAGCCTTGGAAACCCTCTGGAGCAGTTCTATTCTGTCCTGAAGAGTCACTATGAGTCAGATTTGACACTATGGCAACAGGCTTGGTGTTTCAGAAATATGTTGGTTCTCTGATAAGAAGCCTATTGGGGAAGCCTGTATTTGATTTATTCTCAATAAGATAGCTTTCTTTGAGCTTCCATCAAGCTTTTGTCACTCTGCCTTGCAGCCCGTGCACTATGAAGAGAAGAACTGGTGTGAAGAGCAATACTCTGGGGGCTGCTACACGACCTACTTCCCCCCTGGGATCATGACTCAATATGGAAGGTAAAGTAAAAGTATGTAGTTGTTGTTGTTATGTGCTGTCGAGTCGGACCCAACTCATAGTGACCCCTCCTTGGGTTCCCGAAGCAGTATCACTACGGAAGTAGATTGCCCACCTTCCTTCCAAGGAGTGGCTGGTGGGTATGAACCTCCAGCCTTCTGGTTAGCAGTCAAGTGCCTTAGGCACTATGCTACCAGAGCTCCTAAAGTAAAAGTATACTAAGCTGTAACTGAAATTCCTTGAGCCTGAATTCAAACTCTAAATGGGCTGAAATAGCTCTTCTCCATTGTCTCTTATGAATATGAAAGGATAGAGAAAGAATTCCCAGTTTCTTTCTTTCTTTCTTCCGAGTCTCATGAATTAAGTCATTATAATGCTGCAACATGGTGGCACCTTTTACTCTAAAATCATCTGAAAGAACAATCCTAATCAATACAACCAAAGAAGGTTGTAGCATAAGGATGATGTCTCGGATTCCTAGTGCGGCTTTATCACAAATACCACAAGTCAGTAGATTTAAAGAACTTTATTTTCTCACAGGTCAGGGGGCTAGAAGTCCAAATTTAAGGACCAGCTTTAGAGGAAAGCTCTCTCTATCAGCTCTGAGGGAAGATCCTTGTCTCTTCCAGCATTCCTCAGTTCCTTGGCAATCTTCATGTGGTATCTATCTGCCCCCATTTGTGCCATCTTGTTTCTGTGTCCAAGCTGCTTTTATCATAACTCAGAAGTGATTACGTTTAGGACACACCCTACATTGACATGGCCTCATTCACATAACATTAGATTGCATTATGGAAAACGATTACAGTACATTACATTAGAGCTATAGGTATATCAACCCACTGCCAGAATCAACTCTGACTCTTAGTGACCCCTGTTGGGTTTCCAAGGCTGTAAATCTTTATTGAAGTAGATTACCTCATCTTCCTCCCATGGAGTGCCTGGTGTGTTTGAACCACCGACCTTCTAATTACCAGCCAAATGCCTTACACACTGCACCACCAGAACTCCTTTAGTTATATCCTTTAGGGGCTAGAATTTCACTACATATTTTTGAGGGACACAATTCAATACATAACAGGTGGGAATTTATATAACCAGAGGACTATCTCATATTGTCAGAAGTAGTATCTTTATACTAAATTCAGATCTCAGTAAAACATCCCCAGAACATACTGTATAAATGTCAATATGGATACAACATTATAAAAACCAAATTAATTATGGATTGGAAGTGAAGAGACTTGGGATCTAGTCCTGAATCTACAAATAACCAACTTTGTCATCCTGGGCAGATCATTTCTCCCCTCTGAACTTCATTTTCCTTAGCCAGTATATCAGAAAGTGTAAGATGGTGACAATGAATGATAAATAATTAGCATGTTAATAAGAGTATGAGTCTTTGTTTTCTCCTCTAGTATTTAATTCTAGGATTTGGCCATGTTTCTCAGAAGTTTTCTATTTTGAATTAGTTTTCACTGTTGGGAAGAGAAAAAAGTGAACATGTGATGAAAAGTGGCATTGTTTAAAGAACACAAGTAAACAAATTCACCATGTCTTGCTAAGAACTTTTCTTAAATACCCTTTGCTGTTCACTCCATGCTGGCTATAGATAGTTCCAGATTATTCTATGTATTATTGTCAGTCTCCTGATATCCTATAACATTATCTTATCTATTTTCTCCCTCATTGTTCTTAACCCTTTCTTGGCCCGTGTTACATATAGTGACCACCTATATTTTCTGCATCTGGGGTTCTGGTATCCCACTTTTAGTGTGTGCGTCCATCTGGTGGGAGTCTGTATAATTGTAAATCTGAAGAAACAGGCCTCCTCTCACCAACCCAGCACCAGAGATCCTTTGGAACATATGTGTCCCACTAATTTTTCAAAGTCCATATGACCTCAAAAAAAATTCCATTTCATTCAAAATGGCTTGCATTCCTGAAAACACAGGATATCAACAAAAAATTCAAAGCAGAAAATAAATGAGTCTTGAAAGAGTTGGCTACAGTAAAGGCAGGTGAAGAAAAAGCCACTAACTCAAGCCAACTTATTTGGTTTTCTGATAAAAGGCCCAGTGGTATGCAGTATTGACTAAGATGAAGTATGGGCTTTTGCTCTGGGTATCACTTATCAGAAATAATGACACCCAAGATAGGATGAATAATGACAAGTTGACAGTGCTTCCCTTGCGATATTTTTCTCAGGATAATGACAAGTTGCCAAGTGCTGTGACACCTGTTATGTCCTTTTGTGTACTATATGGGCCTCTGTTTTGACAAGTGATGATGATGTATCTGACCAAGCACATAGGACAACAACACAGATTTTGGCATCTGGTAGAAGTGGTTCAAAACCTGGCTCCATTGTTTTCTACATAAATAGAGTAAAAGGTCATTAAAAAGGTAGGAAAGAGAAAAAAAAAAAGACCAAAATGGATGTCAGAAGAGGTTCTTAAACTTGCTTTTGAATGGAGAATAGCTAAATTAAATGGAAGAATTGATAAGGCAAAAGAGCTGAACAGAAGATTTCAAAGGGTGGCTCAAGAAGACAAAGTATTAGAATGAAATGCACAAAGACCTGGAGTTAGAAACCCAAAAAGGAAGAACATGCTCCTTTCTCAAACTGAAAGAACTGAAGAAAAAATTCAAGTTTTGAGTTCCAATATTGAAGGATTATATGTGCAAAATATTGAACGATGCAGGAAACATCAAAAGAAGATGGAAGGAATACAGAGAGTCACTGTACCAAAAAGAATTAGTTG